GCTCAGATTTCCCTGTATCCCTTTCAGTCTGGAGCAAAGTGGCATATACATGCTATTTATTCACCACCCAGATTCTCAAGTTTTGGTAGCTCTCATTTTATTTTGCATTAATAAATATCAGAACTTTGCTGGGAAGACATCCCAGAAATGAAAGTGGTTATTCATGGCATGGTTCTGGGCGAAGGCCTTCCCTCTTTCGGCGGGGAAACTTTGTTTACCTTTTTGAAGAGTCAATAGAGCCTCGGTTCCCAGTTCCACCCCGAAAGAAGGAACCACTTCAGTTTAATGGCAGGACAAACGGTCTGGTCTGGGTCTGTCGTCTTAGCTGACAGACACAGGACAAAACTGTGCTGCTTCAGCTGTGACTTAAGCAGCCAAAAGGTTCTTTCTGTGTCAAAGCTACAGTTAGCATTTCTCAAAGTCAACTCAAGAGGCGATGCAACTTCTGTTACCTAAAAGTGTACCTAGAGCTCTTTCATATTTCATGAAAAATTATTGTTCTGTAAATAAAGTGGGGATATTAATACCCATGGTAATTGTTTCTCAAGTTGTGGTGAGAAACAAATGAGATCAAATAAGACACTAACAGGAGGGTGCCGGGTCCAACCTCTTGAGCACCAGGCTTCCAAGCTGGCAGGCACCTTCCCTGAGCCGAGGACAGGAGAGGGGGGCGCCCAAGCGGTGACGTTTGGTGGAGGCCACACAGCGTGATTGGAGCTCAGCCTCCTTCACTAAGCCCTCTGCCACTCCCTCAGTTCTTTTTTTTTTTTTTTTAAGATGTATATATTTATGTATACGGAACTAGGGTACAGGCCAGAGGTGCAGGGGCAGTGAGAGGATTCACCAGAGACAGAGTGGGGAGCAGAATAGGCAGATTGAAGAAGTACACTGCTGAGGGGAGCAGCGGGTGAGACAGGAGAGGTCTGCCGTGCCACATGGGTCACCTCCGGGGCTGGGGATCGAAATCACACTGAAGCAGCTACAGCCAGCTTGCAGTGCTGCGTTCTAACCTGTGGCACCACCAGAGAGGGCCTCTCCCAGTTCTTTTTAACGACACAGGTTTATCGCATGAATTTGGATAGAAAAGCATAAAGTGTAGCTCAAAGTAAATGTTTTCCTGCAGATGGTCTGGCTGAGTCACAGCTCCTCTTGAGCAAATGGAGGAGCTACCATGGCACGTGGCACGTTAGGAATCCTCACTGGTATCGACTTCTTAGGGTCAATTTCAAGATTCAGAAATTCTTATCTGATTGGCGGAGCTAAAGACTCGTGGGCAGGGATTTCTATTCGGTATTAAATGAAGATGCTCACGGTGCTTCCTTCTTTCCTTACTTAAAGATTAGCCTTCAGGGCTCTCCCTGGTGGCGCAAAGGGTTACAGTGCGGCACTAGGAAGCCAAGTACAGCTATGGGCACCGCGAATTCGATCCCCAGTTCCATCCCCAGCCAGAGAGCTGACCCACAGGGCACAGCAGACCTCTCGTCTCGTCTGCTGCTCCCCTCAGTGGTGTGTTTCAGTAGATCTGCCTGTCCTGCTCCCTATTCCGTCTCTGGTGAATCCTCTCACTCCCACACCTCTGGCCTGGACCCCAGTTCTTGCATGCAAAAATAAACCTTGAGAAAAAAGAAGAAAAGATTAGCCATCAGGTTGCCCTCTCACAGCTGCCTGCTACTAATATTTATGTTCCCCGGTCTTTCCATGCATCACGGGGCCTGCTGCTCACGGTCGTTCTGACTGTCCACCCAAATGCCCAGAACATGGACTCATGGCTTCACATGCTTACTGCAGTCCCACTTCTAGATGCCTGAAAGGGAAACAGCTTCTACTCAGAATAAGTATCAATTAGCTAATGCTGAATCTGCAGGAATTTTCACTCCACTTCCTGTGTCTTGAGTGATTCTTCCCTCCTCTAGCTATTCATTCAGACATTAATTCTAGGTCTCTGGGTTGCATTCGGGGTTGAAACTTGTGGTGAAGTGCTGGTGGCCCAGGGACTGCAGGAAGGCATGTATAATTTTCCTGTCAGAGTGGCTTTAATGCTCTCCTCCAGGAGGCCTGATGCATTAAAGCAAAGATCAATGGTTATGGGTCCAGAAAAATCTGTGGTGTCAACATATGCATGAGAAAGTACCACTTTAATCTTTAATCATTTCAGCCAAGGAGCAAAGTCTATTTTTATTGCTTATAAGTCATGGTGCTGAGTTGACTAGAAATCTGCAGCCTGTAGGGGGGGTATCACCCCCCAAAACGGTAGTGCCCCGTATAAGTGAGAAAGTACATGAGAGGGGGCTTTAGAGGGGAAAGTGGCGGGGTGAGGTGCTGGGGACAGAACAGAGGGGCATGCGCTGGGCTGCGCTGGGCAGCAGGACTCCTAGAGGTCCAGCCTGAAAGTCCTGCCCTGGCTGGGTCCCTGCGATTGTGAGGGGTGAGAGCCCATGAGGCTAGGGGGGCCCCTGCACCTCCATGGTGCTTCAAGAGTTGCCTCTGTAGCCCAGTTGTAAATGAGATCATCTTTGATGAGGTTGGGATGAACAACCGCCCTTTGTTACCCACTTTCTGTGTGCCGGGCCCTTTGCTAAATGCTTTATAGGGACTCTGTCCTTTTAATCCTCCCAGCAACCCTTTGCATTGGGTGCTGTAACTCACTTTATAGACAAGAGATTGAGGTCTGAGAGAGGGCAAATCATTTGTCTAAGACTGACAACTAGTTGGTGGTAGAACAGAGATTTGAACCCTGAGACTGTCTGGCTACAGAACTTGTGCTTAACCCTAACCACCGCACTTTAAATAGCATTTTGTTCTAATGAAAATTGCTAGTGTCATGTCCAGAAAGTTGGAGGGCAAAAAATTTAAAAGCTCTTTAATTCAGCACAGAACCCGGAGGAATGCCCTAGATCTTGGTTTCTAGTCTATAAAAGAATGATTATGCCATTCTTCACCCACCCACCCTACAAAGGCACTTCAGGATTAAAACTTCCGTCATCAGGGCTCTGGGAACCTCCGACGATTGAAGAGACTTAGTTAAGTAATGAGCCAAGGAGTTTTCACATCCTTGCTCAAGACCAGAGGCCCCTAGCTGAGGACAGCTTTCTGCCCATAGCTGGTCTGGGATTTTGAAAGCAAATTGCACATGCATTCAAAGTCAGAAACCAAAGCTTTTATGGAATAACATGAAGGCAGTTCTGCAGAGACGTCATCTGGCATCTAGAAGGCCCCTCTGAGGCAAGCACCGAGCCTGTGGCGGGTGTGGACACAGCCCTTTGAGGCACAGTTTCTCTGCTGTGGGCTTGGGGAAGAGGGAGTTTAGTAAAGTGGGTCAGTTCATTCTATTCCCTCATTCCCATACGCGTTACTCTCCCACCTCCCCTATCGCTTGCTCTGATGAAGACCTGGCACTGGGGGCTGGCATTTACAGTGGACTCCGGATTACTTATAGTGCTTTTGAATGTGTGTGTGAAAGGGTTAATGTGTATATCCTCAGATTAAAAACACGCATCCTTGGGCCCTCCCTGGTGGCACAGTGGATTAAAGCACTAAGAAGCTAAAGCCACTTCAGCATGAGTTCAATACCTGCCCTGGAGGTGATCCATATACACATGGCGAGGCAGACCTCTCAGTGACTCGTCCGCTGCGCCCCTCAACAGTGTACTTCATGGATCTGCCTGTTCTGCTCCCCACTCTGTCTCTGGTGACTCCTCTCACCACCTCTGCTCCTCTGGCCTGTATCCCAGTTCTGTATGCACAAATAAATAAATCATTAAGAAAAAAAACACTCATCCTTTATCAAGTCAAAGGGAATGACAAGAAACCCACACAGGTAATTTCTCAATGTAGCCCAGGAAATTTATCAATTCTTTGTTGGAAACTGCCTAGCCAGTAGCAGTTTAAAGACTGCCCAGGGGAATATCAAAAATAGATGATTTTGAAATGATCACACAGCCAGTTATGAGGGGAAGATATTTTTGAAAAATGACCCCAAAATCTCCTGTATTTATCAAAAATTAAAATGATGAAAATTCTATAGAAAGAAAAATAGATACATAGTACTGGCACTGTGTTATTTAAATTTTTTATTTTATTTTAAAAATTTAAATTCATTTTAATATTGCTATTTTTCATTTCTAGTCTAGAATATTTTGGTGGGGGGTTGTTATCTATTCTGCCTCTTCATTTTTCTAGAAACTATTCATTCCTTATGTCTACTGTTCCTTCCATGATCCCCTTAGCACCTTAAATAGACTTCCTTGAAAATCTTACATTGGATTGTTCTCAGAGTACAGACGCTCTTGTTTATGGTGCAATTCATCACCTTCAGTCATCTGTGCATTTTCCCTGTGAACTCAACCTCTTCAAAAAAGTTGTAATGTTGGATGCAACCGTTTCTTGGCCTGAGGGGAGTATGGTTTTACTTTGCTTCTTCCCGGACCCTAAGGATGGAGAGGTCCCAGGACAGATGGTGCATTTCTTTACCACTTTCCTAGGATAGCTGGTAGGGTTTGAACTGAATACAAATCTCGAATCTGGACAGATAGCTCAGTTCCCTAGCAAGAACCTGAGCCTTGTTTCTTAACCCTTGGGGGTGAAAGAAAGCCCTACCCCAAGCCCTAAAGCCAATACTGATTCCAAGGCCACAGATCTCTGAGTTCAGCTCTCACCAATCATTCGTTTGCTTTGTTTCAAGCCATCTAAACTTCCTTTCTTGCCCTCCGACTCTGCTCTGCTTTAAAAATTAACATATGCCTAACCCATCATTCCCACATGTTTGTACTGGGATGGTCAATCCTTCACATTGACCAGAAATACTAATTTACCTTTTCCATTTATTACAGCTAGATATAGGTGACTGGAAGGGACTTTGACAATGAAATGACTTATTATGAGAAGAATTGGTGGTTTAACATTATCTTTCACTATTTTGCAAATATTCTGTATTGTCATTATATTGTCTTTAAAAACAATAAGACTAATCCCCTTTTTAACCATAGTCTTTCTTTTTTCAGAATGCATACACCACAACTGCTATTAATGGGACAGATTTTTGCACATCAGCAAAAGATGCCTTCAAGCTCTTATCCAAGAATTCAAGTCATTTGACATCTGCTTATTGCTTTGGAGACTTCATAATTTTTCTAGGAAAGGTGAGATGTCTTCACAAAATAATAAAGGAACTTGAAATTCCAAAGTAAGCCTGCGGCAAGGTTTGGAAAGAGAATTAATGTTTCTGAAGTGCTCACTCTGTGGAAGATGCTGTGTCTCATTCTCTCCTTCAATCCTCAATTCTGTAAGATCCATTGATTTTGCAGATGAGGAAACTAAGGGTTAACTTGTCCAGAACTCCACAGTAGGTAACAATTACCAGTTCTCTGTTCTGATTTTTCAAAAATGAAAATGCTAACTAGCCTCCAAATGGATCTATTTCATAGGGAATTTTTTTTAGCATAAAATTATATGGAAATGCTACTGAGAACCTGATGTCTACTTTATAGAAAGGCTTTTAGTCCATAAATATAAAGACAGAGCAGCTCTGTCAAATGGAGCCCAAGCTACGTATCTGTCATACGAATAGTTCTTGTTTTTGTTTTTCAAGGAATTGTGTGTAGTCTTGTAGAGCAGAGAAGCTTTTCAGAGCATCCTAGGACTCCTGCATCCCATGGTGTAGACAAGCCCTACACCATGGACCTTGGGCTCCTTCACAACCCTGAACTGCAGTCTCCGTAGCTGTAAGCTAAAGACAAGGTGTGCCCATTCTAGGTTGTAGGGAGGCATAACTGGAATACGGATGAAAGAGGTGCCCACCCGTTTGGCCCTGTGCAGGCTGGAGGTTCTGCACCGTCTCCTTCCATGTGACAGACACTGGCATGACTCTACTCCTCAGCCTGCCTGTGTCTGCTTCCACCTGACTGCATTTCCATCCCTGCTGGCCCTGGCCTTTCTATCATGTCTTTGCTCTTCCAAACTAGACATCCTCTCCTCATAGCCATTCCTCCACATAGGACCTGAGTGCCAGGGCAGTGGTGCCCCAAGTGAACAAGATCTCAGTCGTCTTCTGTGACCTGGCCAAATATGGGCTCCTCACTCAGCATCTGTGCGTCTGTGCACTTGGCATGTGCCATCAGAGTCAGCTGTCAGTAACAAGTTACAGCATGCTTGAACTGCACAGGTGTGTGATAATTGCACATGTATTTTAAGGTTCAGCTGAGCCCCCTGGACTGTTCCAGTGACAATAGTGCTAGGAGCATAGACTGGTTATGCCTTTCAGGACAGCCTGAAGAGGTCTAGTGCCAGCATGCACAGGACAGCGTCACTGACGACTCTGGCAGACGAATAAAGAGCATTCTGGGGCCCTCAGATTTTTTTTACAGGCCTTTAGTGCCCTCTCAGGGAACCAGCTATACAAGCCCACCAGGCAGGGATGCTGGCCTACAAGGTGGCAGGTCTGGACCAGGCAGGGGCCCTGGGGAAGCAGGCAGGCAACCAAGCCCCATGGTCCCCCCCAAATCGTTGTGTTCTTTCTGTGGCCTTGCTCTGGCGGTCTCATTGCAAGGTCTCCATTCAGAGTGGTCGCCCCTAGCCATGGTCAGGTGTGAGTAACTCTGCCCTTTCATCCCTGGCCACTTGGCACAGGTGCTCATGCTGCCACCTGCAGATGCCCTGTGCTCTCTGGCCCCACGTGCCCAGTGCCCACATCTCTTGACCCCAGGATCCACACAATCAGCAGGAGACTGTAAAAGCCTGGTGACTTCACTTACCCTATAATAGGCTAAATGGTAGTTGCATTTAAATGGATAATATTGTTTATGTTATAGTTTGGAGGGATTGGCTGATACAGTTTCTAATAATGACAGCCGTAGATTCCTTCTGGAATGAGGTTTCATCTTTCTAACAGACTTTAATTTTAGGTGGTAACTCATTGTAGGGTCAATGGACGTCATCAGGCCTTTTCAACTTCCTGCCATTGGCATCTACAATCGGCACCTGTGGTCTTGCAGGTGTGCCTGGTGGCAGCACGGGGCGGTGTGGGCATGCGTGAGTGGGCACCTCAGCCGAGAGACAGGCTCTAAGGGCAGGAGCACACAGGACAGGGTGCAGCAGAGGAAGGTGCAGGGGAGAACAGCTAGAGGAAAGAAGGTATAGAGATTCGCAGGAGGCCCAAACTGCTGTCCCGCTGGCTTGTTTCCCCTGCATAGTAATAATAATAATAATTATTATAACTGTGGGGATGATGCCAAGGGCTGCAAGTTTCTCTTTTAAGTGGCCTGGGATAGTTGCAGAACACTCAACTTCCTGTACTTTTGGGATGTAGGGGAATGAGAGGCTTCACCAGAGACAGAGTGGGGCGCAGAACAGGCAGATCAACGAAGTACACTGCTGAGGGGAGCAGCGGGTGGGTCAGGAGGGGTCTGCTGTGCCATATGGGTCAGCTCCCTGGCCCAGATCGAACATCAGCCCTTAAGGGTGACAGCGCTAAGACTTAACCCATACGCCGCCAGGGAGGCCCTTCCTGTGTTTCTTAGAAGGGCCACATCACTGCTAATGAGCAGTTCTTTCACATGGTAAGCAAAGATTCTGTTTTTCTGGATGAAGCAGCATGTCAACATCCACGCCCACCTTTGTGGCTGCTCCAGGGCAACGAGGGCTCCAGTGGGTCTATTTGGGCTCTACCAGAAATTGGTACCTGACTAGCCATCGGGGCCCTGCGAATATTACAATTTCATAGTAAAGACCAGACTCATCATTTTGTCTTCCCACACCAGCACTGGGAAGCCCATGTGGTGAAACCCCAGAGTAAACAAAACAAAATCCCAGTGAACTAGTGTACATCCACTCAACAGATTACGCGTGATTACTGAAAAGTGACATTTATAAGTTACCATGGTGCTTACTGGAGTACTAAGTCAAAGCACCACACCTCGCTGAGGCTGTCATTCCATCTGCGTAAAGGCAAAAGCCAGACAGACAATGGCAGTTTGCATGCTCATCTCTCCAGATGAGCTGGGCTTTCTCTTGGCACCATAGCTTCTCATTGTTGCCTTCCTTTGGGCCTGTAGATGACATTATTCTAACCAACCGATTTATAAAGCTTTTCAACCAACTCCGGCTTTGCAGGTGCTGGTGGTGTGCTTCACCGTCTTCGGGGGGCTGATGGCCTTCAACTACAACCGCACGCTGCAGGCGTGGGGGGTCCCCCTGCTCCTGGTTGCCTTTTTTGCCTACTTAGTAGCCCATAGCTTTTTATCTGTATTTGAAACCGTGCTGGACGCACTTTTCCTGTGTTTTGCTGTGGACTTGGAAACAAATGATGGATCATCGGAAAAGCCCTACTTTATGGACCAAGAGTTTTTGGTAAGCAACATTTCACGCCTGTTGGAATCTCCATCCTCACAAACCAAGTGGTGAAGACATGCGCATAAATGAGGCACACACCTAGACTCACCTTCTCTCCCAGGGGCCATGAGCCTCCACCCATGGCCTGCATGTCCTCAGGACATCTGGGCTCCATTTTCCCAGGCTGAGCCCACCTCCCTTACCGAGATCTCCCTGGGGAAAAGTGAAGCTGTGCAGCGAACACTGACCACGTGGGTGTTCTGGACACAAAAGCAGTCCAGTCCCTTTGGTGCTGATGTCTTGGTTGGCTTCTGGGAGGGCTGCAGGTTTACCAGTTGATCTTTCTCTAAAGCATTTTTGCATCCCCAAGCACCAGGCCACACCTGTCATATTTTAGGGAGCCTGTTCCAATCTAAACACTTCCCATGCCAGAACTGGTGGATCTGGGACCCCAGGACCTTTACTAGCAGCAAAGGCCAACTTGAGAAAAACCACACCCTCACGAGCACCCACACTGCTTTTATCTGGAAATAGCAGGCAGCTGTTTTCAACAGCTTTTGCCACAGTTGTTGCTGGCTTGCCTTATCCAGCCCAGACAGGGACGTGGTAACAGCTGAATGAAGTCTCGTCTCTTGCTCCTGTCTGGGTCAACTGACATCTTAATAATTTTCTTTCATTTTGTTGCCATAAAACTCAGCCATTATGCTTTTAAACAGAGCATTCAAAGCACTCTTCAGTCAGGCACTGAAGTTTAACAAGCACTTCTACAGCTTTATAATTAAATGTTTCCTCATCCTTCTTCATATAAAATAAAATGGAATTTTATTTGTATGTACCCTAAAGAAAATATTTCTGATGGCAGGTTGAAAGCTAACCAGGTCTCCATCCTGACGGACACTTTTTTGATTAAAAACCCTGTTTGAAATCTAGCCCTCCCCATCCCACCAAGATGTTTTAATTCAACAGGGAAAGCTTTTTTAAGAATTAGATTCCCTGCAATGATACTGTCAAGTTAATGGTTGCCAACAGTGCAGATAAAAGAAAATTGTTCTCACTCTTTTGTTTTTTAGAGTTTCGTAAAAAGGATCCACAAACTAAATGGTGTAGGGGCACAGAGAGACAAGAACCTATCAAAGGAAGAGGGGACAGAGCTCCGGCCAATTGTGAGTTAGGAATGCATCAGACATTTGTGCCTGGATCTTTCGAGTCATTCACAGAATAAATAAGGCCCAAGGAACCCTATTCTTTAGTGTCTGTCATTACTGTCTGATCATATTACAAAACTAGAAAGATAGAAGTCTAGTCTTTTTCTACCAACTAGGATAGAAAAACCTTTTGATGCTTATATGCATTAATTAAAAAGCATGCTATGTGAAAACTCATTTCAGGGCACCAATGAAAAGTACACTCCTACTCACAGCCAATAAATCAACATTTCTCAGCAGAAATCTCTGGAATGTTGTTAACAGAGGACTTTTCCCTACTCATCCAGTCCCAGAATTATGCATAACGTGTCAAAGTACAATTCTTAGTGGCAATAAAAAACCAAAGTTTAACCAGAATGGCACCTGATAGGCATAGTATAAAACAGAGACGTTTAACCAGATAGGTGTTCAGTTTGATTAAAGTACAAGGCTAATTCTGAACAAATCACAAAGGCTCTGGAGAAGTGGTTTTCACTAACCCCAGAGGTTTTTAAAAAGTTTGAAACTTGTTAAACTTTTAAACAAACAGGGACATTTAACATGTTGATTGGCAGGCTCTTCAGTTAGAGGTGTAGGTAAACAAAATCACCTGATCACCTAACAGGAGGCTGGGTCTGGCTTAATTTGCCTGTTCAAGTACAATAAAGGGCTTCCCTAGACCTCTTTTCAAAGATGGTGAGAAGCACCATGCCAGCTCAGATTTACTTAACAAATATAAATTGTGACTTTTCCTTAAACTGCGCCCCTGAGTTAGTTGAGCTGACAGTGTCTTTCATGCAGAGGGTTTAGGGATGGTTCAACTCAAGTGATTGTGGCTGATGAACTGTCCCGCACTTCTGCGTAAGTGCGCAGCAGTCTGCCTCAGCAAAAAGCAAGCAGGTTTCACCAAGTCTACGTCCATGCTATCAGGGGAAACCACTCGGCTGAGAAAATGGCCTAAGTGTGTTAGCAATTTGCCTTTGGTGATTGGATATTTGCCATTTGCAACACGTAGCTGTTTACCTTCCCTGTCCCAGTTGAAGGTAAGAATTTACCCACACACCACACTATGCGCCCTCGTTTTTTAAGGAACAGCACGTCCTACTCCCGATCCAGTGTGTTTCTTGTTGGTATTTATTCACCCTGAAATATGAATATAGAAATCCCTGCCCCATCCTCACCAATGTTCCCGCAGGTGATTTTCAAATTATTCCAAGTTGGATTTCAGATGAGTTGGGGGAAGCTGAGTCACTGGGGGACCTGCCAGGCACGAGCACAGTGAGGCTTCCAACTTCGTGAGTGGGCAGGTCCCCTCATTTTCCTAAGCCTTAGTCTCCAGCACAATGTGCATTGTGCAGATTAAATAAATCTTAAGGTATTTCTTAATGGCATTTAGGGAAGAATACATAAAAAAAAAATCTGACTCTACTTATCTGGAAGTTAGCCAGAAAAGAATCAGCCTGTGGCTCATAGGAATGTTCAAAAAAAATATTTATTTATAAAAAATACAATGGGATAGGTTTATGCTGAGAAATGCAGCAATAAATACAGTTGAAGAAAACAGAGCAACTCTACATCGATACATTGGCACAAACAGGAAGAGCAAATGCACTGTCCAGGCTGATTCTGTACACGCTCCCTCAGCAACACCACTCAAAGACCTTGTCAGCTCGGAAAGAGAATGAGTACACGGGTCATCACAAAAGCACGCTGATCATGACTTTATTTAAAAATTAGCAAACAATACTGTGGAGACATTGATAGGTAAATTCCTAAAATGCTGCATCTTCAATTTAGTTGGCAAAGACCGTATTTAGCTCTAAGCATGAGTTTAGTCTTCCATGTAAAAATCAAATACTAAAACTGTAAAAAAAAAAAAAAAAAAGGTTCCTATGGCTTAAAAAGACCAGTTGAAGTAGAAGAGTGTAAAAATGCATAGATCTTTAATAAAAGAACTGGCTGTCCAAGAGCGCTCCCCTTCACAGTATTCCTTTTTACTTCATATGCGAGTTATTGGTTATGCTGTAGGATTTAACTGTTACAGCACTAAAAGGCAACTATTTAGGAAAGAGGCAGAAAAAGGAAAAAGGAATGTATGTAAGGCAATATTTCTTTTAGGTACAATAAGCATAATAGTGTTTTAGGAAGACGAGATAAAAATTACTCAAGGCTAGATTGGTTTTCACTGAATAAAAACAATGGGCTAAATACTGCGCTCCCCGGTGGCTAGTAATCAATGCCTTGGTCGCCATACTGGTAATCTCTGGGGTAGTCATCTTGGTACTCGCTATGATACTCGTCTGGGTATTCTGCCTGATAATCACTATCACTGATTTCCGACCCATTTGTTCCCGTTCCTTGGCTCCCGTTGTGAATGACGGGTTCTGTGGGAGCAGCGCAGTACTTGGGGTCGTAAACCTGCCGCCCGAGCCCGTACACACTCATCCCTTTCTGGGAAGCCACTTTGTTGGTGCCCATCTGTAGGGAGATCGTCGAGTTGTCCACGGGTTGTAACGTGAGCTTCTGATCATAGATGTCTCTTCGGGTGCCAGGTGCTAACATCCCCGCCTGGTAGAGAACATAATACCAAGCATTAAAAGTGTAGCTAAGGTTAGGACACAGCTCTGCAAGCTGGCTGCAGCCGCTTCAGTGAGAGTTCGATCCCCGCCCCGGAGGTGATCCACATGGCACTGCAGACCTCTCCTGACCTGCCCGCTGCTCCCCTCAGCAGTGTGCTTCACAGATCTGCCTGTTCTGCTCTCCACTCTGTCTCTGGTGAATCCTCTCATGGCCCCTGCACCTCTGGCCTATACCCCAGTTCTGTATGTCTAAATCAATAAATAAATGTTTTTTTTTGTTTTATTTTTAAAGATGTATTTATTTGTGCATACAGAACTGGGGTACAGGCCAGAGGCTTAGGGGCGGTGAGAGGCTTTCACCAGAGACAGAGTAGGGAGCAGAACAGGCAGATCAACGAAGCACACTGCTGAGGGGAGCAGCAGGTGGTCAGGAGAGGTCTGCCACACCATGTGGTCACCTCCGGGGCAGGCGGGAATCGAACTCATGCGAAGTAGCTTTAGCTTTTCAGTGCTGTGCTTTAACCCGCTGCGCCACCAGGGAGGGCCAATAAATACATGTTTTTAAAAAATGCAACTAAAACCCATTCTGGTGACTATTTTATACATTATGAAATTCACACTGAATGTGAAAACACTTAACAACTCCCATTCCATTCAGGGGTAAAGCTAACCAAAATAGCCTGATGTCAGAGCTCCCTCAGGAAGCAAATGTTCACTGGCTTTCAGGCTAAGTCAGTCCTTCCTTCAAAACCCTGCTCTGCTATAAAACTGCAATGTGGTGGGGCCCTCCCTAGTGACACAACAGGTTAAAGCAAGTTCTACAGAAGCTGGCCGCAGCAACTTCAACTTGAGTTCAAACCCCGGCCAGGGAGGTGACCCACATGGTGTGGTAGACTTCTCCTGTCTTGCCCGCTGCTCCCCTCAGCAGTGTATTTTGTCCATCTGTCTGTTCTGCTCCCCACTCTCGTCTTTGGTGAAGCCTCTCACTGCCCCTGCACCTCTGGCTTGTACCCCAGTATGTCTCACTAAATAAATCTTGTTTTAAAAAATTAAAAATTGCAACATGGTCTCCAATAAATTAATTTGCTTTTAGTTTTAGGTTTCTTGCCTGCAAAACCGAGATAATGTCCCTTATTTTGGATTTATGAAATAATTAGTAAATAATATAAAACAAAGCATAACACTAGCACACCTGGAGGTCACAGGACCAATGAAACACTGGGTCCAGGCCACCAGTTTCTAATACAGTCAGCAAAACCTGCTGGGCAGTCATGAGTCTTTCAAAAGGCTCCCATGCACCCAATAGTCGCTTCCAAACAGGCACAGTAACTGCCCTCTCCTCCCTCTATGGATGCCAAGCACATGCCCAAATTCAAAGGTGGTGGAAAAGCAGCTACAGCTGTGACGCCACCCTCCCCGGAGGCCAACAACACATCTCACTTTGGGGCCATTACGAAAAAGCCTTTCAAACTATTCCCCACTTTTATTGGACACGAGACCTGTCTGCTCTCAAATAATGATGGGGCCTTTTATGAGGTGCTAGTGATCTATTTCTAACAAGGAAATACTTCCACCTGGGACACCCAGAGAATGTGGGACCCCCCGCATTCTCACCACGCTGCATTTCAGCCTCAGCGTTCACACTGGTGATAGGAACACTAGCTAAACAGTTCTTATTGGGACACCAGATAATTGGGCCTACCCGGTAAGGCCCCTTTGAAAACAAAGTCAGAAGCACGCGGGTGATTTGGTATGGGAAAGCCCACGGGGATTACAACTGAGAGGTAATCTCTGGGGTAGTCATCTTGGTACTCGCTAT